ATTGTTATGCTGACGACACGCAAATTTATGTGCCTTTTAAAAAAATGACAACCAGAGTTTGAGTGCTTTAACTGCTTGTCTGTCTGATATTAAGGCTTGGATGTCTCTTCATTTTTTGAATCTCAATGAGAGTAAGACTGAGGCAATTGTGTTCGGTTCTTTAGCTGTATCTGGCAACATACAGCAAGTGCTTGGTGATCTGGCTGCATATGTCAAGCCCTCTGTCCTCATCAATAATGACATTAAAACATTACATTTTAGGCTTAATATTAAGAAATATGCATTGTGCACAAAGTAGTACTCCATATAAAGTTTAATTATAATTTTTATATCAGTAAGTCTCAAGTGATATGTCAGGAAACATGTTAATAGATTTGAACTATACTAGTGAGAGGCAGTAGTTAAATCAAGTTTTTTCAGCTTAGACTCCTTGCTAAGGTGAAGGGTTTTTTAACTTGTGCTGAGTTCGAGAGAGCTATACATGCTTTTATCTCATCTCGACTAGACTACTGCAATTCAATGTTTATTGGTATTAACCAATTATGTATGAATTGCCTACAAACAGTACAAAATGCAGCTGCTAGACTTTTGACTGGCACTCGCAAATACGAGCATATTACCCCTGTCCTACTCTCTTTGCACTGGCTGCCAGTCCATTTAAAATAGAGTTTAAAATTTTAACTTTTTGTTTTTAAGGTTTTAAATGGACTGGCACCTTTGTATCTTTCTGACCTTTTGCGTTTACACAGTCCAGCTAGATGTCTAAGGTCATAGAATCAGAAATTTTATTGGTTCCTAGATCTAGGCTGAAGAGAAAAGGTGACCGGGCTTCCAATCTCTATTAGAACAATTGCAACAGAATCACCTCATTGTGCTCACCTGTCTGTCCCTCGTTAACTGCCCTATATCTGTTCCTGTCTCTTGTGTTCTAGTTTGTCGGTTATTTTGAATGTTACCCTGAGTATGTGTCTGTCTCTGCCTTGTTGTCGTTACATTAAAGATCCTTATTTTGTATCCTTGTCATCCTCGTCATCCTGCCTGCCTCCACACACCGTGACCGTGACAGAATAACCGACCCTAAAGTAAAGTATAGCAGCGTCCTTCCACTCGTTTGTTTTGCCGGTTTTTTGGTCAGTTTTTATTTTTTTGTATTATGGATTATCCCGCATTCCAAATCCTCCAGCTGGAGCAGGAGGAACGCTCTCTTGAGGACCACACAAATGACTTTCTGTCCCTGGCCCTCCTCACGCACTACCCGGATAACTGCCTCTGTGGCTTCTATCGCGTCGGACTAAACGCCACCACACGAGCACAGTTGTCTGGGGATGGTCCTCGAGAGAGCTTCACCACCTTTGCCGAGTGGGTGCTCGACAAAGGTGGTGAAGCTCTCTCGAGGACCATCCCCAGACAACTGTGCTCGTGTGGTGGCGTT